GATGCAATCCAGGGTGCCCTGTTGGGTTTATTCATCCTGTCTCCTTGGTCTCCTCCAATCTGTGACAGTTTCTCAGTCTTTGTTTTCCTTGACCTTGACAGTTTTGAGGAGCACCGGTCAGGTATTTTGTAGAATGTCCCTCAGTCTGGGATTGTCTAATGTTTTTCTCATGGGTAGACCGGGATTGTACGTTTGGGGAAGAATATCACTCAGGTGATGGTAACCCGGATCACTTTGTTACAGCCGTGTCCGCCAGGTTTCTCAGCTGTAACCTGACAGGTTTTCCCTTCCCTTACGCTGTTTAGAAGCAGGTCACAAAATCCAGCCCGTAAGCTCCAGTTCCTGGAGGGAAAATATATGAAAGAATTTGTGTTCATATTGTCAGAACCACTACAGTAACTGATAAACACGGGAAGATCCTTTGAGGCTGTGCAAATGTCCTATTTCTCCTCAAAGTTCCACCCACTAATTTTGGCATTCATCTGTGGACCGTGCCTGCAGAAATCATTACTGTGGTGTGTTCTAATGACACTTTTCTGTTTTCCTCATTTCTCCTACATTAATTACTGGGAATTCTTCTGTAGGAAGGTTTGTCCCTTCTACCCCATTTATTTTATTTGTACAATCATTAATTTATATCAGTATGGACTCATGGGTATTTATTTTATTCTTTGGGTATAACCCAATACTATCATAATTAACTTTTTCACTCAAATTGTTCAGTTTTGGCCCTAGGGGCTCTTTGGGTTTCGCTCTGTATTCTTTATTTTTTTTTCCTTTAGCACTTCCTTACATTTTGGCACTGTGAGATGCTCCAGGCCTACGTTGCATTTTCCTTGCCCCAGCCCTAGAATCAGCCCCTTTCCAGGGAGCCCTGGTTCCTTTGATAGAGAATGGTATTAGACCCCAAGGTCTGGACACTGAGTGTGGTCATTGCTGCTGAGGTCTCCTATTTCTAGTCCCTCTCAGCTAGCTGACAGAGCTGGGGAAAATGTTATGTGTACAAACCCATGTATACACACGTCTATACTTCTGTGTGTGTGTGTGTGTATAGATATAGATATCTGTGTATAAAAATATACCTCAGTCCATACTGCTATCTCTGACTAATCCAGCTCCAGAGGGTTCGTTCTCACCTTCCCCCCTCGTTTTCTTTGTTAACTTCTTTCTCTGGCAATGAGAAACCTGGCTCAGTGGGCACTTTTTGGTGTTCATCTTATGGGCCATCTTGGCAGGAATTGGCAGTGTTGGCCATTCCCACCTTCCGTAAGGATACTCTTTCCTGGGTTTCTGTGACACTCCTGTCCCCTGGTTTTTCTCCTGTGTCTTGCTTCTTTGCAAGAAGTTCTGTTTTCGCCGACCTCTTAACTCTGGCCGGCTTTTCTCCCCTTCCACCCCGGGCCATCTTACCCTCTCCTGTGGTCTGTTTCCTGTCCCTGTGCTGATGATATCCACTCTCTGCCCTTAGCCCCACCTCCTCCCTGGGCCCCAGACCTCAGGGTCCTGAGGCCTCAAGAAGCCCTCTCTCCCCGTCCTGCCCTCAGGCCGGGTGACCCCTGAGCCCCCAATACTCACCGTGTCCCACATTGCAAACCTGCTCCTCCTCTTGGTCCCTATCTTAGGGGTGGTCCCTCCACACCCCAGGCTCCCAGAGAGAGCCCGGGGCTGCATCCTTGATGCCTCCCTCCCCATCCCCACCCTGCAGCCCAACCCATCATCCTCCAGAGCTTGACCACTAGGACTCCTGGACGCTTCTCCCACCTGCCCCTTCTCACCTTTCATGGTCCTGCCTTGGTGTAACCCTGTCCTCTCCCACCTTGTCTCTGCCTGGCCTCCCATCTCACTGTTTAACCCCCCTCCCACTTGACAGCTGAGGGATTTTTGTGAAAGAGAACTGATCATGTCCTCCTGCTTGAAGCCTTTCCATGTTTCTCCAGAGTCCTTAGGACCCAGTCCTAACTCCTTAGACTAATGCTGAAGACTTGGTGTGATCTGGTCTCTGACTGTCGCTCAGCCTGTCTCCCTGACCACCTGAGCTGCAGACACACTGAACTTCCTCTCTTACCTTGAGCATGGCCGGTGTTCTCACCTGGGCCTCCGCACGGACCCTCTCTTGGCCCCAGCAACCTTCAGCCCAGCCATTGCTGCGCAATCCACACACCTCCCACTTTCTTCCCACTCGTATCACCTTGAAACACTCCCAGACATCATCTGGAAAGATGATGAACAAGATGTAACCAGTGGTCATTTCTGAGTGTTGGAAGTAGGGGAGTTGCAAAATTTTTTTGCAACAAACACGTTTTCGCTGACTACTAACATAACACACCAAGAGCTGTTGTGGGAGAGAGAGTTAACTAAACAAGAAAAAAGTCACATGCTGTTTGAGCCTAAGAGGAAGAGACCTCTCAAGAATCATTTGTATTACCTACAGAATCCTGCCAGGCAGGAAGAGAACAGAGGTGTGTTTCTCAGCACAGTGTACAGTCACCCCAGACTGGACTTCGGAGGAGTGCCTGTAAGATTCCTTTCGAAATCACATCAACTTAGGGAACTTTCTACCGTCAATTTTCACAGTTACCGTTATAGACAGGACTTATGTCATTTAGACGGTGTTTGACAAGCATTTGGAACAACTGACTTGTAGAAAAGGACTTTGTACGTCTAAAGGGAGGTTACTAAAGTACGTTGGTGTTGGGAGCATTCTTGTCTTATCCTCTGATATCAGTGAATTCTGTGTAAAGGAACTATGGATGCATCTGCTTTGAGACCTTTTGCGGCTTCACTTCTGGCTGGCACGTGCTTTAATAATCACTGCCCACGTTTACATGGCGCTGCTTCATGCCAGGCACCAGTGTACACCCTTTGCATGTATGAATTCAGTAATAACCTCACATGGCCCTTAGGAGGCAGCTGCTGTCATTATCCCGGTTTTTCAGTGAGGCGTTTAGAGTTTAACTCAGTTGCTTCAGGTTCCGGAGCTAGTAAGTGGCAGGACTGGGATTTGAACCCAGGAATACCGTAGGTTCTGTTTGTGCCTTCAACCCCCTTCCTCCTGGACCTGGACTCCATTCTTAAAGGAGAAGCTCAGGTTCTTTCTTTTTTTGTTGTTTTTTGTTTTTTGGCCTCGCGGCACGGCTAACAAGATCTTAGTTCCCTGATCAGGGATTGAACCCCGGGCCCTCTGCCGTGAAAGCCCGCAGTCCTAACCACTAGACCTCCAGGGAGGTCCCTGAGATGTTCACAGTTCTGAATACTGCAATTTCTTCTTTTCAGAAGAGGTTAAATGACTTTCTTTTCTAGTTGCCAAAAATCTGTTTTCAACATCCCCAATTACTTGCAAAGAGAAACACTTTTAACTTTTTCTTTTTAAGGGAAATTTTATTTCCCTGAATTTTAAGGGAAAATTTCAAACATGCACAAAAGCAGAAAAGTCTAATGAACACCCATCACCCAGCTTCAGCAGTTAACCAGCATGCGGCCATTCTTGTTCCATCCATTCTTGTTCCCTGCTCAGTTAATTTTAAAGCAAATCCAGGTATGTTATATTAAAAGACATTGCCTTGGGCTTCCCTGGTGGCGCAGTGGTTGAGAGTCCGCCTGCCGATGCAGGGGACGTGGGTTCGTGCCGCGGTCCGGGAAGATCCCACATGCCGCGGAGCGGCTGGGCCCGTGAGCCATGGCCACTGAGCCTGCGCGTCCGGAGCCTGTGCTCCACAACGGGAGAGGCCACAGCAGTGAGAGGCCCGCATACCGCAAAATAAATAAATAAATAAATAAATAAATAAAATAAAAGACCTTGCCTTTAAAGAAAAGGGGACCCACAGTTCCCTGCCCCAAGTCCTCCCCCTTCTGGCAAACTGAACACCTTCCTGATTCTCTCTTCCCTCTCCCCTCATTTTCCAAATGCAGACACACCTGTGCAGGATGTGATACTATCACTGGCTCCGTCCCTGGCTCTCCCATTTCCTGAAACCCTACCCGCACCGGGCATTTTTCCACGTTGCCCTGAAGCCTGAAAACGGCCCTCCTAGTGACCGTGGATGGCTGGTGCTGCCTGGCAGGCCCATCCCCTTCGGAGGAACATTTAATCTACGTGTGGCTTTCTGCCGTGATAGTGGCCTCTTCCTTATTTGGGTTATTTTCTGGATGCCCCCTCCACTCAAGCCAGGTCAGGCCTCCTGTAACACCCCTTGCACTCTGTAACTTCAAGCACGTTATGTTTAACATAGTCGAAAAGAAACAAGGCTTTGGGTACTTATCTATTAATTGCCTGGGAGCTCCATGACTCAGGTCTGTCTTGGAGACCTGAGCATCACCCAGCACAGGGCCTGGCACACAGTAGGCGCTCAGTAACAGGAATGAATGAATGATTGCCAAGGTCAATATCTGGGCGTTTATCATGAGGGCAATAGGAAGCCACAGAAGTGTTTTAGGGAGAACTGGACCCATTTTTCTCAAACTAATGTGCATATAAATCCCGTGAGATCTTGTTAAAATGCAGATTCTGAGTCAGTGGGTCTGGGGAGGGGCCTGAGGTTCTGCATTCCTGACAAGCTCCCAAATGATGCCAATGCTTTGAGTCACAAGGCTCTTGCTGTGCTGTTCAGTAAGGCAGCCACCAGCCACGTGTGGCTGTTGAGGATTTGAACTGTGGCTGGTGTGACCTGCTATGTGTTCTAAGTGTAAAATACCAGCCAGATTTCAAAGACTTAGCACAAAAAAGAGAATGTAACATATCTCATTAATAGTTTTTATATTGATCACATGTTAACATGGTAATATTTTGGATATATCAGGTTAAATAAAATGTTATTAAAATTCATTTTACCTGTTTTTGGTTTTTAATGTGGCTACTAGAAAATTTTAAATTACATCTGTGGTTCTCATTATGTTTCTCCTCTTTCTCACCTCTAAGCATTTGTACATGCTTTTCCCTCTTTTTGAAGCACCCCCTCCTTCTCCCTACCTCCTCTTCACAACTAATCACACACATCTTTCAGGTCTCAAGATGTCTCCTCCTCCAGGAAGCCCCCTTGATCCCCCAGGGTGGGTCAGGTATCCGTTTTGGGCTTCTGCTCTCTGGGTTTCCCCCGTCCCAGCCCTGACCATCTGTGATGTCAGCGTCTAAACGTCTGTCTCCGGAGATTGGAGACAGGATGGCGGAGTAGAAGGACTTGAGCTCACCTCCTCTCATGAAAACATCAAAATCACAACTAACTGCTGAACAACCATCAACAAAAAAAGACTGGAACCTACCAGAAAAGATATTCTACATCCAAAGACAAAGAAGAAGCCACAAGGAGACAGTAGGAGGGACACTTTCACGATATAAATGTCTGTCTCCCTCTTTAGAAAGGTAAATCCATGAGGATGGGGACAAAGTCTCTTCTGGTCACCACTTTTATCTCCAGAACCTGGCACAGAGTCAGTAATATCTGTTAACTGAATTAAGAAATGACAAGTAAGATGTGGGTCGTGTGCACTTGTAACTCTTGAACTGGACCATGAAGCCCACTTTTGAGGCCTTGTTTAATGTGCCCTGACATCAGCGCAGCATTCTGAACTGCTTTAACTTTTACTGGGTGTACAGTAGACATGTTGTGAATCTCATCAGCACATGCACCAGGCGAGATGTCCAAGAAAGTACGTAATAGCACTGACAGCAAAACATCGGAAACAAACCTGATGTCCACCAAAAGGAGAATGGATCAATTGTATCTTCACGCAGGGGAACAGTATGCAGCAGTGAAAAGGACGGAACTACAGGCACGCAAGAAAAATAATGTGTGAGAGGAGCAAAATTCAGAAGATTTCACATAGGATGATACTATTTTATAAAGCTCAAAACCAAGCACACAGAAACATTGTTTAGGCATTTGAAAATATGTGATAAAACTGTATCTTAAAATAGCAAGGGGGAGAGGGAATCTTTTGGGATTGGTTGTACTGTGCAGTTAAAATGGGTATATTTTATTGTGCATAAATTATACCTCAGTAAAGCTGAATTAAAAAGGAGAGTGGGCAGAACAGACTGCCTGATATACTGTGTAAGGAGGTGATGCTGGGGGCATATGCCACCATATGGTGACTCACCTACCTGTCATGCTGAGGAGGTCAGGCAGAAGAAAGGACCTGAGCCACTTAATCACTGAGCCAGGTAAGGGACTTTGCTTTCTGTGCTATGTCTCCAGTTCCAGTTCCATGCCTGGTGATTATTTGGAGCTCAATAAATATAGGTACTTTTAAGTAAAATTCTTTTGGAAGTAAAATACAATTTTCTTAACTGTTTGAATTTAACAACCCCAAAACACCCTGCCTCTGGAGTGCCTGCTGTGTGAAGTAACGCATTTCCTTCTGATTCAGGCCCTTTTGACTTGGATCCTCTTATCTGTAGCCAAACACATCTTAACTGGTGACCGCGTGGTGAGTGAGTTAACTGCTAACATCTTAGGGGTGTTAAAAAACACAATTTATGGGGGGTGGGGTGGAAGGGAGGCTCAAGAGGGAGGGGATGTATGTATACATATAGCTGATTCACTTTGTTCTACAGCAGAAACTAACCCAACATTGTAAAGCAATTATGCTCCAATTAAAAAAAAAAATAAAGACTTAAAAAATATTTCCCTGGGTAAATTGAAATCTAATTGGCACTATTTAAAAATTCATGAATTGGGCAGCATTCTATACGGCAGACAGATATTCCTGGAAGTTACACAACATGGAAGGCTTTTACAGTAAGGAGGATGGGACAAGGAAACGAAGTTATCAGCAAGGAAAAAATGAAAGTTCATTGGTGGAAAACAAAAGTTCAGGTGACACTGGCTTCTCACTGGCTGAGCTGTGGTGTTTTCCATTGGCTGGGCTTGTTGCAAGACAAGAAGGAAGTCTTCCTTCCCCCTGCTAGGGTAGTAAGTAGTTGTGCTTCCTGTTTGGGAGTGCAAGGTACCTCTCTTCCTGCTGGGGTCAGTAACTGGCATCTTCCTGTCTGGGTAATTGATACTCCTCCTGTTTGAGATAACTGACAACGAGTGGTAGGGCATGAGACCTCCCTCTACAGGCCTCTCTGACTCCAATTTTAGTTGGTTTCCTTTTATTAATTTTCACAGGGGATACCTACTGCGTGTCAGGCCGTATGTGAGGCCCTTACCTGCATGATTTCTTTGAATCTTCACAACACCCCTGTGAGGTGTTGTGGGCCCTCAAAGAGACTACAGATTGCCAAGCTTGCTCTTGCCTCCCATTGGATGCCTCCTGGGTCTAGACACACTGCTGTGTCCGCCCATCACCTTCAAGGAATTCCAACACTGCAATCACATATTCACGAGCTCAGCCAACTTCCAGAAACATGAGTGATAATAGTAATCAGTTACCACTATTTTATGTCACTAAGTTTAGGGAGGTTGGGTAAGCAGCAGTAGCTAACTGCTACACCCCCCCTCCCCAAGGATAACCACTGTGCTGACTTGACCTCTAATGCCATAGATTCTTTTTTTTCCCCAATTCTTTACTGTGTATAAATGAAATAATAAAGTGTATCAACCTCCGGGTTTCCTCTTTTATCATGATCTCTGTGCTTGGACCCATCTTACGAGGGTTTAAGGAGTGGGCACACACTTTGGCTTCCTGGTGCCCCTTCCTTTGAAGGCGGTGTAGTGGACATTGGTTATATTGGCCTGTCCAACATCCATTCATATTTCTGGTTGCAGCACCCCAGATTATCCCTCACTCTTCATCTGTGTGTTTGGGGGGCAGCAAAGTCCACCTGCTAGTTCTCTGGGGATGAGCCCATAACCTAGGCCTGGCTAAAGAGAATCTTCCATCTCCCTGACCACAATGACTGTTCAGAAATGGGCCTGTGATCTGAACCTGGCCAATGAGAGCCAGGGTGGGCTTCTGCTGAACTAGTAGGGAAGGGGAACTCCTTTTATCATATGGTTTCCCAGCTGGTAGAATCTAAGGCCAGAGCTGCTAGGGGCCCATTGTGAAAGGAGAGCTTGCCTGGGAATGAAGACAACACAAGAAAGGAAGGCAGAGCTGGGAGATGGAAAGAGAAAGAGAATCCTAGCTACCTCCTTGGCCCTGGGTCCACCTGTACCTGAAGGCAAACTTAACCTGTTTCAATTAGATCAGTCTATAAATATTTTTTCTGCTTAAGCCAGTTTGAATTTGGGTTTTCTGTTATTTGTAGCGCAGAGTCCCTGCAGGGGGTTATGCACATGGAGTTGTTTAAAAAGACCCAGTCAACGTTTCCATTAGCTGGACCCAGTGCTCGTGTGGAAAAGGCAGTGTAACAGTACAGAAGTTCTCACACTGTGAAATCTGGGCCACGCCCATCAGCATCACCTGGGACCTTACGAGAAATGCAAATTCTTGGGTTCAACTTTAGCGAATCACAAACTCGGAATGGGTTCCGGCAAGAGTGTTTTGAGAAGCCCGCCAGGGGCTGTGTGTGCTAGTCAGAGCATCACCACAGGTGAGCATGGTGGGAGAGAAACAGCACAGGCTTGAGGTCCAAGTTGTGTCTTTGCCTCTCTCTGTCCAGCCCTCTGATTTCAGGTGAGTTACATAAATCACCCTGCTTCACATTTCCTACCTGGAAAATGGTGCACTTCTATCTGATAGTACTGTTATGTAGGCCAGTGAGTTAATAGAGGTAAATCGTTCAGAATAGCGCCTGGCACATAGTCCACGCTCATTAAAGTTAGATCCATGGTTTTCAGACTTTGTTGGACATTAGAATCACCTTGAGGGGCCCTCCCCTCCCCTCAGAATTTCTGATTCTCACTAAGGGAAGCCTGGAAATTTGCATTTTTAACTAGTTCCCAGGTCAAGTTGATGCTGCTGGTACAGGGGACCCTGCTTTGAAAACCACTGCGTTAGATGTTACTGCTAGTGGTCTCCAACTCCCTTTCTGGTGGTTCGGCAGTCACCTCAGGTGCTCTGGAATCGCTCTTTTCCACTGACTCAGGCTTCTTTCTCCTCCTCTCCCTCCCCTCTGGCATCAGTTTTGATAGCTGGATTCTCTGTGCTGGTAACTGGAGCTCTGAGCCCAGCTTTCCACTGGGAGTGGCCCCAGCCTCCACCTGTTCAGGGAACCTGATTGATGGTTCCTTCAACCACAACTGCTCCTTTTTTGTCTGCCTTCAGAACTGTCTCCAGCTTGCTTATATAAGCAGATCCCTTTCCTTCTAACCTCCAGTAGGCTGCATTTGCCACATCATTCCTGACACTGGCTGTCCAGCCCCCATCACAGGCATTTCTTTGCTTTGCTAATAAAAGTGGCTTTAAATGCAGAGCCAGTTAAGCTCCCCTCCAACAAGCTCCTCTATAACTTGACCTGTTAGCTAGGGCAAGGTCAGTGTGGCTGGAGCTGAAAGTGAGGGGGGAGGAAGGCAGGAGATTAGGTCAGACATACAGGCAGAATGTAGATTGTACAAGGCTTTATGTGTCATGAGAAGAACTTGGGCTCTAACTTAATAGTAGTAAAAAATTTAAATCATTAAAAAACTTGTGACATATAGTATATCTGTGTGTATATACACAATTTATACATGTGTGTACAGTTGAAAAAAATTATACACTGAACACACGTGTAGCCACCACATAGGTAAGAAATGGGACATTGCCAGTCAAAACCTTCCCTAACATTTGTGGATCCTGGACCAACAGTGCAAATGGAGGCTCCCTACCTATAGTTCTCACCCTGTCTTCCCATTCCTGTCTACATCCTGAACCCTTGTGGGGTCATCCATGCATGTGTGAGGGCACCCTAATCTGTATGGTGGAGTTGGTCCATCTCAGATCACCTCTTGCCCACCCCTTGGATCTAGAGGTGTGCACACCAGCATGACTTGCCCTGGGTTTGGGGGCGAGAAGGACTATGACAAGGTCCACCCAGGTGCTGGAAGCAGGTTCAGGAGCACTTGGGTAGAGGATTCTAGAGAATTGGGTCCTCTGTGCATGGCCTGGAACTGCATTATTCAAGAAGGTAGCTGCTAGTCGCATATGGCTATTTAAATTAATAAAATGAAAAAAAATTTTAAATTGAGTTCCTCAGTTACGCTAGCCACACTTTAAGTGCTCGTTAGCCACAGCTGGCTAGTGTCTGTTGCACTGGACAATGCAGATACAGAATGTCTTTCTATTGGACAGTGCTGGTTGGGAAGGAGGAGTGGTTTGGGTTCCATAAGACAGGACAGTATGACTCCTCCCGCCCCCCGCAACTGGTAAAAAGGTCAGGCAGGAGAAACTGCCTGTGAGAGAAACCAGATGTTGGATTTAACAGACAAAGTCTTCAAAGTAGCCATTATATAAATAGGTCCCAATAACTAAAGGGAATCATGACTTTAACAGTAAAAGTAACGTATGATGATACTGACTTACCAAATTTAAAATATCAATAAAGAGTCAGATATTATAAAATAGAACCAAATGGAAGTTTGGAGCTGAGAAGTGCATTAACTGAAATGAAAAAATCAGTAGATCTGAGCTGACAGGAGAAGAGAGATATTATGTATTCTAAAGAACAAAGAGAGAAAAGAATGAACAAAATAAACAGAACCCAGAGAAAAGTGGGACACCGTTTAGCAAAACAGTATACACTTAATGGAGTGCCAAAAGGAGAGGAGAGAGAGAGAGCAGAAGAAAAATTATTCTAAGAAATAATGGTGTATACACACACACAACACATGCATACATACATACATGTACATATAGTATTGTTGGGCCTGTAACATATAGAATGGTAATATAACTGCCAACAACAGCACAAAGGAAGTACATTAAACCAAAGTTGTATTGGGCTAAGGAGAGGACTCCAGATGGTAATTTGAAATGAACAAGAACAAATGAAGAGAACAAGAAATGGTAAGAAGGTTAATATAACAAAAGCTATAAATATATGCTTGCTCTTCTCTCATCCTCTTTAAAAGACATAACACTATATAAAGTAATAATTAAAACAACGCATTCTTGGTAACATTTATAGATGTAAAATGTATACCAATAATACAATACAAAGGGGGGAAAGGTAATAGAATTCTACAGGAGGGACTTCCTTGGTGGTGCAGTGGTTAAGAATCCACCTGCCAGTGCAGGGGAAGTGGGTTCGAGCCCTGGTCCAACAAGATCCCACATGCCACGGAGCAACTAAGCCTGTGCCCCACAACTACTGAGCCTGCTCTCTAGAGCCTGCGCGCCGCAACTACTGAAGCCCGCACACTCTAGAGCCCATGTGCTGCAACTACTGAGCCCATGTGCTGCAACTACTGAAGCCCGAGTGCCTAGAGCCCATGCTCCACAACAAGAGAAGCCACTGCAATAAGAAGCCTGTGTACCACAACAAAGAGTAGCCCCCACTCACCTCAACTAGAGAAAGCCTGTGTGCAGCAATGAAGACCCAACGCAGCCAAAAGAAGAAGAAAAAACAACTCTATAGGAGCAATGTTGCTATAGCTCACTGGAATTAAGTTAGTATAAATCTGAAGCTCATTCTGATTAGTTAAGATGTATATGGTAAGCAACCACTAAGGAAATCACTCAAAAAAATTAATGAAAAGAAATTAGTAAAGAAATTTAAATGCTACATTAGAAAAGATTCACTTAATGTAAAAGAAACAGTAAAGGAAGAATAAATGAGCAAAACAGGCATGAAACACATAGAAAATAAAAAGTGAAATGGCAGATATAAATCTAACTATACCAATAATAACGTTAAAATTTAATAGATTAAAACTATCCAATCAAAAGGCAGAGATTGTCAGGGAAAAAAAAAAGAACCCACCAAGATCCAATGATATTGTGACCTATAGGAAACATACTTTAGATTCAAAGATACAAATAGACCAAAAGTGATAGAATGTAAAAGGTATATCATGTAAACAGCAACCATAAGAAAGCTGGAGTAGCTATACTAATATCAGATGAAATTGATTTTTAAAATGTTACTAAATAAAAGAGGGAAATCTTATAATCAGGTCAATTTATCATGAAGATATAACAATTATAAACACATATGCACATAACAACAGAGCTCTGAATACAGAAATGAAAGGAGAAAATACAGAAGTACAGGTCAATGGAACAGGACACAAAGCCCAGAGATAAACCCACACAGTTATGGTCAACTAACCTATGACAAAGGAGGCAAGGATATACAATGGAGAAAAGACAGTCTCTTCAATAAGTGGTGCTGGGAAAACTGGGCAGCTATGTGTAAAAGAATGAAGTTAGGACACTCCCTAACACCATACACAAAAATAAACTCAAAATGGATTAGAGACCTAAATGTAAAAGACTGGACACTATAAAACTCTTAGAGGAAAACATAGGAAGAACACTCTTTGACATAAATCACAGCAAGATCTTTTTTGACCCACCTTCTAGAGTAATGGAAATAAAAACAAAAATAAACAAATGGGACGTAATGAAACTTCAAAGCTTTTGCACAGCACACTATAAACAAGACAAAAAGACAACCCTCAGAATGGAAGAAAATATTTGCAAATGAATCAACAAAGGATTAATCTCCAAAATATATAAACAGCTCATGCAGCTCAATATCAAAAAAACAAACAACCCAATCCAAAAATGGGCAGAAGACCTGAATAGACATTTCTCCAAAGAAGACATACAGATGGCCAAGAGGCACATGAAAAGCTGCTCAACATCACTAATTATTAGAGAAATGCAAATCAAAACTACAATGAGGTATCACCTCACACCAGTTAGAATGGGCATCATCAGAAAATTTACAAACAACAAATGCTGGAGAGGGTGTGGAGAAAAGGGAACCCTCTTGCACTGTTGGTGGGAATGTAA